CCCCACCCGTATTCCTGTTTGACTGTGACCGCCCTCAACGTGAGCTGTGAGTTTTATGCTCAATGGTATTAGGTACCGATTCGGCTATAAGCTGTTGTATAAACATTGAAAATAGATCTGCCTAAAAGATGTATTTAATTTCTAAAAATCAAACTGTCATTCATTAAAATACATATATAGATCATAAAATTTACTTAACAACGAGACAACCAAAGGAAAAAGGATGTGAAAAATTAAGTGCCGCACGGATGTTTTCGACCGGCCTTTCCTTATAGTTTGCTATTCACAACCAAAACAGTCTGAAATTTATAGTTCTCAATGCACCTGAACATTTTCCCATTTACGCAAGATGCTTGTTATGTCTAGTGTCATAAACTTTGTCACAAAGATATGTTAAGTCTACATTCAAAATTTTAAAATGGTTTATTTAGTTGGTTGACCCCTGGACTCATGCTCTTTGAACGATGTAGATAGCTTAATAAGAAAAAAATTCGCACTCAGTTTATTTTTAAAGAATCGAGGTGCAGAATAAAGAGCTTCGATATATCTCCATTCCTTCCACGAACACCATTGGAAAGGCTCGCATCTGCATCATTTAGTTACAATATATACTATATATTGAATTGGTTGTTGTGGTGCGGCATGACCGATTCGCCGAATCCTTTTCCCCGAGTGCGTGAGGCTTGCTTCTCCCGCCCCCTGTCGCGTGGCTTCTTTCTCGTCTATTCATGTAGCTGAGAAGCATTTTTTTTTAAGCTTCGAATTACGTTATGAAAAACAGCGCTACACAAAGACTACCACGTAATTATTGAACATCTCACTGACACGGTCAGTGTACTTTCAACCGGCACACGCATAGGTTATGTCTATATGTCAGTGGGCTTGACAGCACGTTCAGAGCAGGGATGGCTAATCGCTTCGTGTTCTACGTACAGATCTTGCCGCCGCAGTCCTTCTTCGCGGGAACGGTTGACTTCGGTGACGCCGGCCCAGGAACTGCAACATCATGCTCCGACATCGTGAACTACATCGGCACTCAGTCTCATTCCGGGCAGGGCAAGGAAGACCTCCCAGTCATCGACAGCGCCAGGTTAAGGAGATATGCGTTGGAACATCACGCACTGACTACTGCGACGGAGGCGGGGCTCGTAGCTTTGCTTAAAAGGAGTCCCTGGCATCGCCATCGCTTCAGTGGGCTTGGCAGCACGTTCAGAGCAGGGATGGCTAATCGCTTCCTGTTCTACGTACAGGTTAGTAGAAAATCTCTTTACAAGTGTGCTAGAGATGATTGTGCTGCATTGATAGTGCTGCCGAGCCCACGCAGCTTGCGTAAAACTATTTCCGAGTGTTGGAAAGTGATTGCTTTGTTGTTACATCTCAGCGGTGATGTCGAGCTTAATCAAGGACCTGATATGGCTATGAATCAGCTGCTTGAGGGTCAGAGGCAGATTGCTCTAAATGGTAGACGACTTAAGCAAAATCAAGAAGGCTTTGGTAAACGACTCGAATCAATCGAAAACTCGGTTATTAACTTACAGCGATTGTCTAGTGAACTGCAGAAAGCCCAGAAGCTTATAATCTACGGCATTCTAGAAAATGAGCACTAAACCCAAGCATCGTTAAGTACGCATGTTGTTGACAGTGTATTTGAAGAGAAACAAGGAATCGACGTCGAACGTGTACAGGAGAAAGACAGATTGTGAAGACAGATACCCGATAGAGCAAGACCAGTTTTTCTGCGATTAGATAAATTGAATGAAAAACCGCAATCCTTCGCAGTGCAAACAAGCTTAAAGGAAGTAAAATACTTATTAATGATGATTTTTCCTTGAGGGTTAGAAATATTCGACGGAAACTTTGGGAGAATAGCCGGGTAAACAGAACCAATGGTGATAAGTGTGTTCTCTTGTAAGACAAGTTAAAATAAATGGAACTACGTATGTTTGGGATGGCAGCATAAATAATAAAGTTAGGATTACTACGGAAAGAACATATTAAGTTAGGCAGTCGCAACCAATATGACGTAAAATATTAGTAGACCAACGAAGCTTTCTCTTTATTAACCTTAATGCAAGAAGTATTATTTACGAAGCAGAGGACTTGGAACATATTCTAATTGAACATGACCCGGAAATCACGCTAGTTACAGAGACGTGGTTGCCTGAGCTTTTGTTGGATGATGAGATAGTCCCTCCAGGTTTTAAAATACTAAGAAAAGATCGCCGCAGCAGGGGACGTGGTGTCGCTATAATTGTTAAGCGTGACCTTGTCTGCAACTTCATCGAAAACTCATCGAACATTGAGAGCGTTTGGTGCAAAGTAAAACTACCCAACATCGAAATATTGATAGGGGCTGTCAATTGTCCACCCGTTTCCGGCTTTGACTTCATAGAAAAATTAAATGACTTTTTGATTAAACCCGAGTCAACAGCAATAATGCTATAATTGCGGGAGACTTTAATGTACCAGGCATTGATTGGGATGCGTTAACGCCTGGAAACCTGGACGTCATTCAGGCTTCTGCATTGATCGATATGACTTTCTCTCACGTTTTAACCCAGATAGTGAAAGACTATACACGATACCAAAGTGGATGCAAATCTGTTCTCGACTTATTCTTTCTTAGTGACAGCGTCATGTTGTACCAATTTGAATATAGTGTAGTACCAGGCATATCTGATCACTCCATGGTTACTTTGTCTCTGCATCTTGAAAACCTGCCAAGTACGTGTCGCGATGTCACAACATACAAACTGTTCGATTACGCGGCTGATGTCGGTATATTACATAAGTTGGAATCTAGTTGTCCCGGTTTTGCATATTTGAGTCTTAACACCGCAAACGATGTAAACAATCTATGGCTGAAGTTTAAAGAAATAGTTATCGAATGCATTGATCAATACGTTCCCACAAGAACAAAAAAAAGGCATAGAAACAATCCGTGGATCGCGAAAGATATCTTACATGAAAAGCGAAAAATCTCGAAATGTAAAGTGCAGCTGCGCAAAACCAATTGTGAAACCATACGTGCAACTATTCAAACTTTGAGTGCCAGCCTAAAGACATCAATAAAAATGCTAAACACAAGTTTTATAATATTACAATGTCTAACTTCCTATTAACTGCACCCAAGAAGTTTTGGCGGTATCTCTCTCCCAGGAAAAGCGAAATCACAAAGCTGATTAGTGATGATGAGCCAGTCATTGAACCGGTGTATATAGCCAATACGTTCAATAAGTTTTTTTTGCAGTATTTTCTAGTGACGATGGTATGGCACCAGTGTTTTATACGTACGCAAACATCCCGGCGATAGAGAATGTATTTTTGTCATACGAGGGAATCGTTTCGCTTTTACTCAACATTGACCATTCGAAATCAGAGGGACCCGATCAGGTTCCAAAATTTTTTTTTAAAGAGATACGCAGAATGGGTCAACCAAATATATTTTCATTATTTTTCAGAAATCACTTCAGTCAGCTGCAATACCGGATGATTGGAAAATGGCTAAAGTAATTTCAATCTTAAAGTCAGGTGATTCGTGCAGTGCAATGAACTACCGGCCAATTTCATTGACATCAAGTTGCTGTAAACCCCTAGAACACTTAGTTTCAAAGCATATTAAATCATTTTAGCCACTCATTCCCCATTGAATGACAAGCAGCGTGGATTCAGAAAGGGTCTATCTACTGTAACGCAACTAACTGAAGTCGTACATTTTTTTTCTCGCGTTTTAGACGCCAAGGGACAGGTAGATTGTATCGTTATAGATTTCCAGAAAGCCTTTGATAAAGTAAACCATCAAAAGTTAATGATTACATTATGTCCGATATTAAAAAAAACCAGCTGTTGCTAGGTTGGATTCAATCCTTTTTTAAAAAAAAAATTGTAGACAGTATGTAAGCATCAAAAATGGCTATTCAGATATGTGTGATGTTGCGTCGGGGGTTCCGCAAGGGTCCGTCTTTGGCCCGTTGTTGTTCTTAGTATTTATAAATGATCTAGCAGAGGATCAAGAAGTGCATGCTAGGCTCTTTGCGGACGGTTGTCTTATATTCACTGAAGTTCATGCGGCCTCTGATCAGGAGAAATTAAATAGATTTTTTACTAGAATAGATGAATGGTGTGCCACTTGGCAAATGTCTCTAAATCTAAGAAAAACAGTATGTATGATTATCATTCACAAACGTCAACCGTTAATATTTCCCTACAAACTTAATGGTACTTTGCTGTCTTGCGTAAATGAATTCAAATACCTTGGCGTCACGATCATAAACGACCTAAAACGGAGTATGCACGTCTATATTATAGTTAGAAAGGCCAACAGTAGATTGGGCTTCCTTCGAAGATCTCTTAAGTTTGCGTCCGGTCAAACAAGGCTAACGACGTACAAAACGCTGATCAGGCCTTTACCGTATGCGTCAGAAGTGTGGGATCCTCACGTGATGTATCTTGAGCGGGAACTGGAAAGAGTCCAGCGGATTGCAGTGCGCTTTATATTTTCTAGTTATCGCCGACTTGAATCCCCTACCCAGCTTTGTTCGCAAGCCGGCCTTCCATCGCTTATCAGTAGGAGAAAAACCAAGCGTTTAAAACTTCTCTTTATGATTCTTAATTACCTTGTTTTTATTGGCAAAACATCTTATATTACGCCTCAGCAATCTAAAATTTCAGAAAACAAACATAGTCGACATATACAAGAATACGAATATAACAAGGAATGTTTTAAAAATTATTTTTTTCCACGCACAATACGCGAGTGGAATTCCCTGCCAGAAAGTATAGTAGCATGTCAAGATGCAGAAAAATTATTCTCTACATTAAGCGTGTTTCTAGATATTTAGGTATATCGGCATGATCTGTTTGTGAATGAACAAGTGTGCTTTTCAACCATGCGTACCATTGTTGAATTGTTCTTGTTTTCCACTCCTGTAAGAGTTCCGACTCGGGACTGACAGTATGGGAAATAATAATATTAATAATAAAACCCATCTCTAACTCACCTGCCTCAAGGCCCTCCGCCACCGTGGCACAGACAAACACTAAAGCTAGAAGTGCAGACATCTCTTCTCAGTGCTTACTCGAGTCCGAAACTTCTTTTAACGGTAAAGTTTAGCGTGGTGACGTCAGCTTTTCATTTTTCATAAAAAGCTTCTCGTGTGGAGCATTGAACACGCCCAACGCGCGTGATGGTGTTTGTGACTCGGCACGATACAGATGTTTGCTGTGACATTTCGAAAAGCTCAAGAGCGGGTTGTTGACTGAGAGGTCATCCTAAGCTTTCGTGATAATTATTGGTTGACCTTTTCGTGCGACGGGGTGTCTTGAGGCTGTATTTGCGTCATTTCTTATATTTGCGTTGCTAGCTTCCACACTAAAAAAAAAAACAGTTTCCAGACACTCCGTAAGAAAGGCCGTGGTGACTTTATAGATGAGATTTCAAGCACATTGGACTTCAAGCAATCGAAACGCACGTCAAATATTTTCTTTTTATTTGCGTGTTTTTTTTACACGTTAGTTTGGCACATGTTGCAAAATTTTCTCCTCGGCGATTTTATGAAACATAGATGTATTATAACGCCAGTTCGTAGAATTTTGCTGAGAAATCTCAGATTTGAGATTGATGCACAACTACGGCTAGAGAGACTAAACAAGATACGGCAGAGTAGCCTCACTTCAGCCATCTTCACGTTTAAAATAATTGTTGACAGCTTTCTTAGACTTTGCCTGAAGTCACGAGGAATGGGTTTGGTTCATCTAATAAATATTAAAACAGTTGGAAAAAAAAGAAAGAATGGCATCGGCCAAGCATTTTGACACTGCATGTAATACACAGGCAGTTGCAATTTCGAATCATAACGATTTTCAGTTCTACTCTTTCTACACTAAGCACCAAATGGCAGCGTTAAAAGGGAAACGAATCGAAGTGTTCATAAATTAAGCGTAGCTTTCTAATTACAATAACCGCTATCAAAAAAATTATATTCTATTGAAAAAAGGAAACGTCAAAATAATGTTCATTTTCTTCTTCTAATATTTTTATTGTCTTCCTGGTCATGTTCAATTATGCGCAAGTTAAAAAAAAAAGAAAACAACCTTGGTTATACACAGGTTTTATTTTTGTGATCATCTAAAATGGGGACTGTATCGTAGCTTAGGCAGCACAACTATATATTCACGCGTATCAACATTTTGTTCAACATGTGTTGGCGGGATGGCACATTGCTAAGCTGAGCCGCTTTCATTTATTTCCTTATTGAAGTTTAGCATATTATTTCTTAAAGTTATGCGATTTTCTCAAAATACAGCAGGTAAATACAAAAAAAAATTTATTAGAGTAATAAATAAAAGGAACTATCTAGCAAATGATAACTTTAACACTCCCTTCTTTCAGTCAGGTGTGCGTAATTCCGCCTCGACTATGAGAGCCTGCTTCGAGATGACCAAATATATTAATATAACAGGGGCCAAGAGGATAATTCAGAAAGACATCCTCTTTGCGTTTAAAGAAATAAACACAAATCTCGACTTAATTTAATGACTGACGATTGGGGCCAGCCGTCAAGATGACCTGCCTTAACACTGACGTGTCACCAGGCCGCCCGAGTTTTCTAAAAACCTCATGATGAGGCAATTATAACAAGCCACTGTTTCGCAATAAATAAGACTACAGCCAACACTACAATTAGATGGATCCAATCAGGCAGTGCCAAAAATAGAGTTATTACAATAAACTCTAGAGGCTCGGCTGGCCCTAGTGTCTACGGGACTCACGGTTGCATATTGAAGTCACAAGGAGTCAGCACATATTCTACTTTTCCAGTCTTCCTGTGTATTCCTGATATTTTTCTTTTGGCCAGGGAATAATAGAAATCAGCGTAATTTCTTTACTCGTAACGGGTACAATGTAGCTTTATTCCCTGATAAAAGTGTAATTTTTAGGCATTGTTTTTTTTCGTTGTTGAGCGATGTTTAAGTTCGCAAAAATTAAGATCCAGGCATATGTTCTCCAGCAGAATATGTCAATACAAGCTATCAATTCAAGTGAAAGAACAATTAAAAGTTGCTTAGAATTTGTTACTAGTCCAGTGCGTTTGTTACTTACCCACAGCTTGTTACTAATCCAGTATGCGTCCTTCGTTCCAAAACTCCATGCTCCGTTCTTATATGTTTGGCTTGTTTGATTTTGCATATGTAAGCATCTTTTTGGTGTTTTATGAAGGTGTTTCACTCTGTGTGCTTCATAGCACTCACTATATGCGTAAATAAGTGCCCTATAATAGCAGTCTGCAAGGTCAACATGTATTATAGATGTGTGTTGGGCTATTTTAGCGCAGTGTTCGGCGCCATGAATTACAAAGAAAAAAGCTATGACACATATTTTTGTAGATCCGATTGTAAAACGTTCCCAACCTTTTATTCTGTTACAACACTAATCAATAATTGCTCTTATAATCAAGCTCGATCACAAAAAGCATTTGCGTTTTCCCATAGGAATGCATTAGAAGAAGTCCAATTTAGACTGGTTGCTGTCTGCTTCAAAATTCCAAAGCACACGCGCGCCACCAGAAACTTCAGCGCCTATTGTGATAACTCTATCGTGCCGAAAGTGCATCGTCACGACGTTCGTTGTCTTCGCGCGTACCCTACCAGCGACTAAACCAAACACGCACTGTGAATGCGGCCTCATCCTCCTCTAATACTGCTCGCGATCGGTTTAGCCGAAGATAGCAAACGCAAAAGAGACAGCGAGCAACTTGATGACACACTATTAGTGACTCTCTATTGGCTACATGTGATTGGTTCGCCGCGGTCGGACTTGATGTGAAACAGTGTATGGATATCTGATTTGTATTCACTAATAAAGTGGGGATTTGAGCCAGTTGCTTCATTTAGTTCGACGTGAGCGCGTTGATGAAGTTAAATAAAAACAAAAAGAATAAACGTAGGGACGGACAGAACAACACTTTTTTCGACTTTCAACAGAAATAGCTTTATTAGGCACCGGGACCCGGGGCCCAAGAAATTAGAGACGAAAAGGGGAAGGGCGAAAGGCGGGAACATGGAAAGGTGAGGGGTGGTAGGGAGAGCAGAAAGGCGACACAGACAGGAAAATTACTCGCGGGGAAGAAGAAAGGCCAGGAGAGAAGCCGCAAAGAGGCGAGGCCGCTTGAAACGAAATCACCGGACGGGCGACCTAGGCCCGCGGGGTCCCTGTCAAGGCCATCAACTGCGGGCGAAAGTAGGCCACGTCCTTCGTGGAAAAAGAAAGAGACGGCGACGAGATATTTCGGGATGCGTGCATTACCGCGAAAGACTCGATTATCTCTCGGCCGTAGCGACCTCGATTAGAACCTAGGATTCTTGCCGAGGAGAATCCAGGGCAACATAAGGAGCAGGCCCTATTGTGGACGGCAATCGGGTGTAGTGACTCCCTCCCATCGACCTCTCTCTCATGTTCGCGTAACCTGTCGTTAACGCAGCGCCCTGTCTGACCGATATACTGCGCGCCGCAAGACAAGGGTAAGGTTTAAACGCGCCCCGACGCACAGGGAACAAAGCTTCTTGGAACATCCGGACTGAATGGGCGGGGGTTCATTTACGAGACGACACATAGAACCCAGCTTAAACTGGCACGAAAATGCGACATCAACGTCGTACCTTCTGGCGACTGCCCTGAGGCGATGTGAAGTTTTCTGGTAAGACGGCGTGACCAAAAACTTTTTTGGGCGTTGTGGCTTTTTGCGGTCGAGGGAAGACTTGGAGATTAAGGCCTTTAAGGCGGTTGCAATGAGGTCACGCGGGTAACCGGCTTTTTTGATGCGATTGATTTGGTTAGTTAGGCTTGCATTGGAAAGGTCGGGGCAAGATTTTGTGCAGGAAGAGGAGAGAAGGCTATTTACAATGCCCGACTTTACATTTTTTGAGTGGTGGCTCGCGAAGGGGAGTAACGGCTTCTGGGATCGCTGCTGGAAACTCCAGCAGAGGCCGCTTGGTGTTGGTTGTAGGCGCAAATCAAGAAACTGCAGGCCATCCGCGGCAGGCTCCGCCTTCGTGAAGGTAAGGCCACGGGAGTGGCGCGAGAACACTTGCTCGATGGAAGCAGGAGAGATGTTCCGGTCGTGAAGCAGGACGTAGTCGTCGACGTATCGGAAGATCTTGGTTCCCGGAGTCGCGACACTGAGCTCCCTCTTCACCGCCACGACCACAGCTGACAAGTATATCTCACTGAGAACTCGAGCCAGGCAGGATCCTATGCAGACGCCTGATTTTTGGGTGAAGATCTTCCCTTTTTGTTCAACCAGGGTCGACCTCAGGTATAGTCTGATGAGCTGTAAGAACGCGTCGAAGGAGATGCCGGTAGAGTTCTGAAATTTGACGCGTCCGAATTGTGTGACAGCCTGCTCAACGCAGTTCATGAGAACCTCCACGTCGAGGCTGTAGTACATGTCTGTCACGTCAAGGGAGAACAATGTGATGTGGGGACTTGATGAGTGTAGCTCTCGAAGGGTAGGAACTTCAAAACACTGAAGAACAGACCATCAGGGTCCATCCGCACAGAAGTGAAAACGCTCTGCAAGGCCAATGAACTCTCTTCCCTGCTGACTAAGATTTCAAAGCCGTCAAGCCAGTACCTGCGTGTGTTCTTCACTGCAAAAACCCACAAGCCGGACATACCATTCAGGAGCATTGTTTCAGAGAGCGGCTGCTGGCAGAAACATCTGGCCCTCTTCCTCCAAAAACACTTGGCAGCGGTGCCACTTGAGCAGCCTTTCCGAGTGAGTAGTTCCCTTGAGGTTTTACCTACCCTTCGAGAGCTACACTCATCAAGTCCCCACATCACATTGTTCTCCCTTGACGTGACAGACATGTACTACAGCCTCGACGTGGAGGTTCTCATGGACTGCGTTGAGCAGGCTGTCACACAATTCGGACTCGTCAAATTTCAGAACTCTACCGGCATCTCCTTCGACGCGTTCTTATAGCTCATCAGACTATACCTGAGGTCGACCCTGGTTGAACACAAAGGGATGATCTTCACCCAAAAATCAGGCGTCTGCATA